TAAGCTATGGCCTCGTTGCGATGGAACAGCACGCGTTCCGTCAACGTCGATTATGTTCCACGAATCTGACGATAGCTCGTGACAACTGGACCGATATAGTGGACGAAGGGACAGGAAACGATGTTATTTACATATACTTTTTGAAAGCCTTCGATCGCTTGGATCCTCAAATCCTGCTGCACAAACTGCAGCACTAGGGCATCGGAGATGGAGTATTAGGGTGGATTGGTAACTTTCCCTGCGAATGGCAAAAGTAGCTTAGAGTCCGAATATCTCTGTCCGACATGATTCGAGTGGAGTGCAGCATACCGCAGGGTTCGGTACCTGGGCTTCGCCCGTTCTTAGTTTTCGTTAACGAGAGTTATCACCTAAGAATTTTTACCCTTCGCGGACAAGGTTAAAATGTGGCGGGCGATCAACGGAATGGACGACCTCCAGATCCTCCAGCGCAATCTCGATGAAGCCTGGGATTGGTCGGTGAGAAACACACTGCCATTTAATCTGGACACATGTCACGTTGTCCACATCTGTCATCAAGATGTCTACATCTATAGGCTTGGGGCGCACGTTCTGAAGACAAGCTCACAGGAGCCTGACCATTGTTGGTACAGGGCGACTTCGGTTGTTTTAGACAGTCAAAGTCCGCTTTGAAAAGAGGTGACCAACATGTTAGTCCCTTGCGGGGGGCATTCGGGAGTTTGGATTCATCCATGTTCTTTTTGATGCCCAATGCCTACGTGTCCCCATGTCAAATACGCAATCCAGACTTGGTATCCTTGAAGCGCTCGAAACCCTTTAACGTCGAGCAAGGAAATTTGCAAAGGCATTGCGCAACCATCCATACCAGCAACGACTGAAGACACTCGGAGTGTTCAGTGGACGCTACCGACAGCAAAGTGGAGACCTCATATTAGTCTACCACATACCGAGCGACCCCAGTCACGTATGGCGATCCTTCCGGAAACTCAGTCCGAACACCAAACTCAGAGAAAACAGCCTGAAACTCAGTTAACAATACAGTCGTCTAGGTGGTCGAGGGACTTGTTTCTCCTTCCGGATCTGACAACCCTGGAGCCCCCCTCCAAACTCAGTTGTCTGTGCCCTTTTCAAAAAGCGATTGGGTATCGAATTTAACTCTACACTTTGTTACATGAACGGATGTTCTGGATATATTCAAGCTAACTAGCCTCTTTGGAATTATGACCCACACTGACGCAGGTAAATCTGTGCAGAGGGGTGAGCATTCAGCCTATTATTTGCAATGAGTAATAACCATAACAACTTGTTATTGCGTTTTGCCTGGTACTATCTCACTCCCACAACCCTCTTTGTATACGCCATTAGTCTATCGCTTCACCGATGTGTATTTTATTTGGTCCACTTAGGTAATATTTCAGTTCCAATTTCTCCTATTCCCAACTTACGAGACATATTAAGTCTGTGCAATTTTCACTCGTTATAAACCATTGTTCTATTGCAGGGGCTCCCAGACATAGACAGGAGCACGATTAGAGTGCTCAATCAAAGCCTTTGACACAAAATCCTGTACGCAAGGCAACGGGATGGTAATGATTTGGTTTTACAGAAATTGAAGCCCTCTCATGTCTAATCCCAAACCTGGAGGACCAGAAGACTGAGCTTGTCTGGTCTCTAACCACTGACCAACCTGATAGGAGTAGCTCTCAAGGGGCCCGGAACACCAGCCAGTATAGCCTAATGTGACGACTAGGTACGCAAACCGTCATACCACGTTAAGGTCCAGTCTCGCTGCGATGGGATCCTTTTATCTCCGCCACTCATAGGTACATGGAGCATAGCTGTTAGACTGTACCAGAGGTAGTGAATAAGTTTTACATGAGCAGGCTCGGTTGAATTGAGAGTGGGAAATCAAAAATTACATCAGAAATCCATCATATAGCCAATGATCACCAGACTGAGTCATCTCTGCAAAACACGTGGATACAAAAACAACCTCATCACTCCGATTGTCCCTGGAGGAATGTGAAGTGAAATTTTAGAGGAGATTGTGAATAATAAACAAGTTGTCCGGCATTCAAGTGAGCAAGTCAGTCTGGTATGGCGCGGTGTGGTCAGTTCGTCTTACAGCGCATCATGACCACGGCATCCGCGAAACAGGATAACTTTTAAATGTTCTACCTTGTGTGCGTTTCAGGTTGAACACAGATCGCGTTCTCCGGAAGTTCCAAAATTCCACACAAGATCAGAAGCAAAAGAAGACGCGAAAGCGTGCTACAGGACAAGCTACCGAGATGAGAACAAATTGCGTGGAAAACAACGCATATTCATAGCATCTAAAGAAATGTTACCTCCTCTAGGACAGTGCCAGTGCATACTATTCACAATCGTGTGGAGAAATGTCGTGAAGGTTCTCGAATATCTTGTTGGTGGTTGCAGAGAAGTTGTCGTGATTCCCAGAAGACCACGTTGCTTCGCAAATAACTTGAGCAAAAGGGATTAGAGGACCAGGACGTGGCGGCATGACATTGAGGGTGTGGTAGCCACAACAAATCACAGGTCTTATGACCCACTGAAACCACCAGCTGAACAAGCAAATCGACGTAACCTAATGAACAGTAAAGCAGATCTTTGAGCTCCAGGATGAATTACATCGCATAGCATGCGCCATATGAGTAAAGAAAAAAACAAGAAACTCCATCTGGGCGTTGTGAATCCGTGTTCGGTACTCTAATTAAGACAATGAGAGTCAAATATGAACATACGGGGAAACGCAACATGTCATCCAACCGACGCGCGTAACTCCGCAATCGGCATCTTGTCTGGACCTAATGTTTACGAGCTGAGAGCAGGAGCTGAATGAGATCAGAGTCCTCGAAACTCTGGCAAACAGTGACCACTGCTCCATTGTGGCAAGTATAGAACTGCCATTACCGTATTACAACCAACAGAAGCCGAGATACAACTACTGGAGGAAGAACTTCAACAGGCTCGTCCAAGCCGAAAGTCAGAGTGATTGGACACTACTACAGGATGCGTTGTTTGACGCCAGTTGGTTATTAACGAAAGGGAAGCTAAACTCGCTGTGAACTCCGTTCGTTCCCCTTAAGTATTCAAAAGTCAGACCTGTCAAACCGCATTGGTTTGATACGGAATATAGGCAGTTAGCGCGTCGCAAACTTTGGGATTGTGATGAAGATTACACGGTACACAAACAACAGCGAAACTTATGTAACCCGGCAAAGATAAAGAAACGCCGCCACTTCGAAGAGGAGCTAGTATCCTCAGCCACAACTGCACCCAAAAGAATATTTGCCAACTTGAAACGCCAAGTGAAACCTGGGGGCGACAAACCGGTTCTAGAGAGCTTGGACATAGACGCTCATTTCAAGCGCGGATGCCTTGGCTACGCACTTTCTCACCACATCTTCCAGTAAACCGGCGGCTGTTCCAGTACGGGCACAGGTAGCGCCAGTCTGGCTCAACAGTCTACAATGTGATTCAGTCGAAGTGTATCAACTACTCGTCAACCTCGATGGAACAAAGCCCTCCGGACCAGACGGACTTCACCCACTAATACTCAAGTCCCTATCGATTATCATCTCACCAGCCGTGACAAACCTATTCAATAAATCACTTTCTGGAGGATCTATACCTCACGAGTGGAAATGCTCAATAGTGAGAGCGCTTCCCAAGGGTGGTGATTCGAGTAAAATAGAGAATTTTAGGCCGATCTGTATGACTTCGATATTATCTAAAGGTACCGAGAAGGTAGTGAAAAAGTGTCGGCTGTCTTTCTTCGAATCGATGGACGAATTGACGCTAGCGCAACACGGCATTACGAAAGAGCGATCATGGATCACCAACTTGATGTACGCGACCCACCAGTGGGTACGAGCTCTCAAAGAACGTTGACGTGATGTACATCGACTTTAGTAAGGCTTTTGACAGAGTGAACCACGAGGTAGTCCTTCATAAACTGACGACCTACGGAATCGGTAACACTCTACTTCAGTGGTTACGCGAGTTTATTGTGGGATGAAGGTTTAGAGTACAGGTCAATAACTACCTGACAGACTGGCTCCCATCGATCAGTAGTGTGCCTCAAGGAACGGTAGTTTGGCCAGTATTATTTCTTATTCATAACAACGAACTTCCGCAGCAGCTCCAGTCACCATGTGCCCTGTTTGCAGATGATTTGAAAATCTGGAGGATCAGTGAGAACCAGAACGACTGCGTTTGCCTCCAGGATGACTTAGAGCGACTGTCAACGTGATCCGCATAAATGCAACTCCCTCTTAACGCAAGCAAGTCGGAGTTCATCAGTATCACCAGACGTCTAGCCACTCGATCACACATCTTGGACGGCCAGTTGCTCCACCTCAACACATCTGTCAGGGACTTAGGAGTGCTCTCGCGACATGACGTGAGATTACTAGAAAATACAGAAAATACTGTGCGGGACCTCGTATGCTCCAGGCGTTACGACGCATGGTCGGAAGAAACGGTCCCTAGTCTATCCACGTCGCTCATTAGATTAATCCTTGAATACGGTGCCCCAGCTTACCAACCGATAACCCAGTGGGAAACTGGAAAGCTGGGGAAAATACAGCATATTGCAACTAGAATGATACCGCGTCTACGAAAGCCTCCGTATGAAAAACGTTCTGAAAGTCTCGGGCTCTACACACTATCCTACCGCCGAGTAAGAAATGACCTTATTACGACCCATCGAGTACTACACGTGAATCATTTCCCAATACTGCGGCCAATATTTCACCTACGAGAACCCTGTAATACCCGAGGACAGCGTTACAAACTCAGGGTTCCGTGCATGGACAAAGTATCACATCAGCTTTGTATCGAACGAAGAATTGTAAACTTATGGAATACACTACCGGAAGGATTAAGAGGCCGATTCTGTGAAATGTTTTGAAACATGTATCGACGATTATTTCGAAAACCTATGCTTTTGTGAAACGGTGCATATACAATGCCAAAAGAAGACATCGTATACCCGGAAATAATGACACCAATACGAATTCCTAACCGGTTAACTGACAAAACACTACCGCTGAAGATTCATAATTCGATACAGTTGTACAGAAACATTCCTATTTGCTTTTAAATACAGTATCTGTACTCAAAAGGTGCAACCATCCTCAGTGCGGAGAAGTCCACTCAAACTACAGCTAAAAGTTACAAAACTTGTGCGAAGTCATCAGAAATGCAGCGATTCATTGTTATCTAGTGCGCTTACCATTGCCGTCCAAGTCGCAACCGACTGTTAACTCCGACTTGTTTCTGTATTCTACCGTCACCGGCTGTGTGGGAAAAAGGTTGTAGACCCAAAAGTAAAACGCTGAAGGCATAATCGAAAAAAGAATTGTGAGAAAACATTGTGCGAGCGAGTTTAATTGCCAAAAGAAGGAAAGGAAATGCTTCCCTTGCACATGTTTGACGCAACAAGGCCGCAGAGAAAGCGAAATCACTGCTACTCTGGTGTGTGATCTTAACAACCGGATGCAAGTGACGAAGCAAATGGCGCAGCACACTGTGACGCCGGTTGTTAAACATAAGAACGTGGAAGTAAGTAATCGTTGTTGCACAAAAGCCATAATCAACGCGTGAAAGAATCTAAGAAAATAGGGCGAAAACCAGCCTTGTTACCACGGATCCTAATTTATTGAGGATCAGTAGTGTCGAGAGGGATCTCCGAGAAGCAAAAACGAAGTGTGGGCATCTATCACAGTTCTATTAATCAAAGAACGCAAGTCCATTTCGTATCTCGCATTGCTTAGTTGGCCGGCCCTCGAGCTTTGCCCATGTTCGTCAAAAGCAATTGTACTATCCATACAGCCTGCCTAATTACTGTCAGGTTGTACTGGAGGTGATTAATTAGCTTTCAGCCTACTGGTTTCGTGTTCGTTCAACGCGCCCGTTCCATCCGCCACAATCATGTGCGGTGTGACATTATATCGTTTTTCGTGATCGTGGTGTTGCATATCCAATTGTCCTTCAGTACGGGTGATCTGGCAGTCTTAAGCTGAAAAAGTGGTTGGCTCGTTATGTTGAGACTGCTGATCCTGACCGTCCCGAGTATATTCATCCCGTTGTCTCCTCAGCTGTACCAGACTTCGTCGAATAACGTTGTTCCGGATCTTTATCTTAGCTTCGCTCTCCTTTACCACCTTCGTTTAATTCCCTCCGCCAACGCCCGTCAGTTGCAGGAGTCGGTTCAATCTATGCTTCATCCCCAGATGCTAAATGTGGAGGACTATCTTGATCCGCGATCCTAATACCATTTTAAATGCAGCATACTCTTTCGTAAACGGTCTTTCAAAAGACCATTCGAAATTATTCATGGCCACAGTAGAGCCTTAGCTGAATAGACGTTGAGCTAGACCTGACTCAATTTCAGCGAACGACGTGTTTCGCCTTTCAAGCAGCTTGATGTACGGATCCTCATGGATCTTCTTACCCTTCGTAAGCACTTCTGTTGCTTCCATGATTGCGGACTCAGCTTTTCCGTTGGACTAGTGAGTTGGTGCAGAAAATCTCACTGCTTGTTGAAATTACGAAATTCTGAGCTACTGAATGAGGGCCGTTATCGGTAATTATCTCCTCCGATATTCTATTTCGAGTAAAATAGTACCACAGTTGTTCACGAGTTGCGTGTTGGTCGTGGTTCAGTCTCGAAGTAGTCGACTACTATCAAGTAGTTCTTCCGCTTATGAGTGAAATGTTCGGGGTGGCTTTTTCCTAAGACCTCTCTGTGACTTCAGGAAACATCATTGGTTCTTTCGGTTGGTGCACTTTATGTTCAGCATGCTAAGCAGTTTGAGACATAATTCCCTGTTTGACTGATCATCACGGGTCAAAGCAATAGTTCTCGAGCTCTAGCTACACAGTTGTTGACTCCTAAGTGAGCGGAGTGTATAAGATCCGGCTTAGGACGTTACAATGTTGTAGACAGGCAGGACAGGGTTCTGCTATCCTCTTAGACAGACGCCTGGTCGTGTGCCTGAGGTACCTTGCACCACAGGTGCAGGTGAATTGATATAACACAAATGCTTCGGAACGAGCCGGGATTCTGTATTTCAGACTTTTGGTGATGAGCGGAACTGTCTCGGCAAGAATGTGTACTCTAGCAGCCGGATATGTTTGGCTAATTGCAATCGACAGTCTTCTGTTCAGTAACTCGTAGGGAATATCCCCTTTGAAAGGAACCGACAGGAAAACGTCCTTTTTCTTTACAGTTGGTATTGTTTTAGGGTAATCACAAATGGCAGAATGTCTTTTGATAAAAGAAGCGGGATACCCATTGGCTTGTAGCGTCGCGTGAAAGAAATCCTTCTCAGCGTCTAAGGTTGTTGGGCTGCAGATTCTTGCGGCGCGATAGTACAAACAGTGCACGAGATTTCGTTTGTATTTCATTGGCACCTAACTAGGAAAGTGCGTATACTGGCCAACTCATGTCGTATTCCGAAAGACCCTACTCTCAAGCGACCCATCAGCTCGCCGCCGTAATGACACATCCAAAAACTGGATTTTCCCATCTTTTCTACCTTACAAGTGAATTTTAACAATGAATGCGCACTGTTAAACTGGTCAAGTAACTGCAGGTGGTCATTTTGGGAGTCGCATATGATGAATGTATCGTCCATATACCGCCAATAGGAATGAAGAGACGCGATAAGGTTCCGGAGTGCGAAGCGCTCAATTTTCGCAAGAAAGAAATCGGCAAGGATTGGTCCTAAAGGGGACCCCATTGCAACTCCATCTATTTGTCGGTAATGCCTTCCGTCGAACAAGAATTGTTTGTTGAATGTGCAACGCAGGAGTACCTCTTTCACTCCTTGGATAGGAATACCAATAGCAGTCTTGTTATCGGCTAGGCACCCGCAAATAAAGTTGATAGTCTCCAGCAAAGGAACGTTCGTAAAATGTGCCTCCACGTCAAATGAAAGCATTATTTCGTTCTTCATATTCAGGTTTTCTATTTGTTTTACAAAACCAAACCCATCACTTACAGTATGGACTGATATCTCTTTGCGTAGGGGTTCGAGTAATTCAACAAACCATTTAACAACTGAGTGCACGGCTGAGCCAGACATGTCAATGATCTGGCGCATTGCTGCGTTGGGGTTATGCACTTTTGGTAATCCGTAGAGGCGAGGTGGATGCGAGCCACACGGAGTTAGATGTTCGAGTAAACGTTTATCAATATAGTTTTGGCGCTTCAATTCCTTCAGTAATTTAGTGAGTTTAATTTCATCATTCTCGCTGCTATCCTTATGTGTCGGAGCAAGCATGAATTTGGTCGTGTCCTGAAGAATAGCGTGCATCTTTAGCATGTATTCTGACTTGTTCATCAGTACCCAACCCGATCCTTTATCTGGCCAGGAGAGAATAACGTCAGGATTAGATGTTATTTCCTTTACAGCTTTCCGATGTTCATTGGTGATCATTCTCGAGGGTTGCGGCTTTTGACTCAAATAATGCTGGAAAAGGTGCATCAAAGTACTCTTGAAAGTGTCATTGGCGAGGGGAGACGTAGTGGTTAAATCAGCCAGTTGCTGCGTTAAACTTACAACTTGTGTTTGTACATGAATAGACCCGTTCTTTGGACATAAAGAACAGAATTTTAGCCCCAGCGATAGAGCTTCCAATTCGCATCGTGCAACTGTGATCACCTTAAACCAATACCAACTGTAAAGAAAAAGGACGTTTTCCTGTTGGTTCCCTTCAAAGCGGATATTCCATACGAGTTCCTGAACAGAAGACTGTCGATTGCAATTAGCAAAACATACCTGGCTGCTAGAGTACACATTCTTGCCGAGACAGTTCCGCTCATCACCAAAAGCCTCAAAGACAGAATCCCGGCTCGTTCCGAAACATTTGTGTTATATCAATTCACCTGCACCTGTGGTGCAAGGTACCTCAGGCACACGACCAGGCGTCTGTCTAAGAGGATAGCGGAACACTGTCCTGCTTGTCTTAAACAGGACACGGTTAAGCATGTCCACAGCGTTATCCTCGAGCATCTGATTACTACTGGGCATCAGATTCGGACAGAAGACGGATTCAAGGTGGTCTACACTGTGTCGAGACGCGTTCCCAAAGGACTCAGGAAACGCCTGCTGGCCACTGCCGAAGCAATGGCGATTAGGCTATTACCACCTGAGTTACGCAAGCAAAGGAGACTAATACAAGCTCTCAGTTTGCCTTGGCCGTGACAAAGATTCTGTCCGGCCTAACTGTGCGTTTGATTTCTCATCAGCCACTGCGTTCTTGCTTTCGCTGTTTGTCTATTTGTATGCGCGAGACGCGGTGTCGTAACTTCTACCACCTGACTTCATTGACATAACTATCGATTGGCTTCACTGACCCTATTTAAATTGCCATCTAACCACTATCACTGGAGCTCTAGTTAGGTTCCCTGTTTGCTTAATCTTCTTCATAAATGTTCATGCTTGACGAGAATTATCGAAAAGAGATATCTCTTCGCAAGTCTCTTCTTATCTCTAAATGGGTATAATACACGAATAATATAATAAGGTGTTAGCTGTAGGCCGTAACGGCGATTCGCTGCCGTGCGACCAGTACCAATCGTACGCGGGCTGAGCATGCCGCAAATACGCCTACCCCTAAGTGCGATAGAACCCGCGCCGCAAGTTTTCGGGACAAGTTCGTTACCACTAGGCCACGGGCCGACTAGAAGTGACGGTCGACACAAATTTTGCAACCAATACAAGAATTGAGAAACAATATGTGAATCAGAGATAGTTCATAACGGTCAACTCTCAGATAGCAGGCTGTGGCAAGTCTGGAAAGACAACAGACTCGGCTGTTTGGACCTTCTGGGTATAAGTCAGTGGTGCACCCTTTATCAGACCTCTGCCGGGTTCCGTGGGGCGAACTTCTGTGCTCTGCACAGTTTGAAACTGGCATGGCAGTGGAAGATGAGACAAGCTATATCATAGTTACTGTCAATCACGCAGGGCCGCGGCTGTCAACCATGGCGCGGTGGCACTAGCTGCTGACATCCGGAAGTCATGGGGAGGAACCCGGCAGGGGTCCGATGGAAAGCGCACCACTGAGGAGACCAAGAAGGTCGAAACACCGGCGTTTGGTGCTATTCCAGACTATCCAAAGCCTGCTGACTAAGAGTGACCATGATAAATTATCTGAATTATACCAAAATCTCCACTACTCATTAGTAAGATGAGAATCGGTCCCAAAAGGTTTTATAGGATTTGAGTCAGTTTGATCAAAAGTCAGGGTAAGCGAACATATGTTTTCGATAATTCATCTTCAGGCTTATGCAATTAGATACAAATCAAAATGTGCAGACAGACTAGTGGGAGTTAATTGAATGCTGACAGCACTGTCTGTTAAGCCACGACAACCGACCGCGCGTGACCTCGTGGGTCAGAGGTCACCGGCTGTTTGGGCCAGGGCAGTCCCAAGCCTTTAGTTAGCTTCTTCTGAACACATAGCTCCGGTTCATACAGCCGGATCGCAATTGCTTCAGCAGCTTCTAGTAGTCGCTTGTGGACGCAGTTCGAGCGGTTCTGTGGGGCCTGATAGATAATTTTGAACGAATCAGTGAACTTTGTGGCGTGCTCTGTATAGGATAGGTGCGCGGCTACTGAAGGGTTCGCTGTATTTCCGCTTCCAGTTCTGAGCCCGATCGGGTGGTGTTCCTTCATTCTCTCAGATAGACGCCATGTCGTTCGACCAATGTATTTCGCTCCACAGGAGCATGAAAATGAGTAGATGCACATTGAGTTGGTGTGGACATGCCCCTTATAACTTGAGTTTAGTCTCACCATCGGAATGCTAGTGAACTGCATTTGCATCTGCGCTGCTGGATAGGTGCGTCTGAGCGCAAACGAAAGACGACGAGATAGAAGTTTCGTCGCAAGGCTACTGATTGGAATCCAATCAACCAGAGCAGCTTCAGCCCGGGGACTCAGAGCAATACCAACACCGGCTTGGCCGGTGCTCGAAGCTGCATCGTCACCGGATAGGCGCAAGGAGAAAATACTGCTTGCGTCCCCTGAAGGGGATCGCAGAGTGAGCACAGTGCTCGAGTCTTGCAGGCGAGTCTCTGATAAGCAGCAGATATCGATCGAGAGGGTCTCCAATGTTCGGGCAAGTGCTGCCTGTTGACCGATTTGTAGCAGTGTGCGTACATTGAGGCATGCCAATCTGAAGGAGGATCGAGGGCTCCAAATGGAAGCCGATGAGCTGGATTGGACCGCTTGGTTGGACATGGGCTTGTCGACAGGAGAGGAGTGACGCTCCGCGTTCACGTGTGAGTTGAAATTAGAAGGTAAATGCCTAGCAAAGCATGTTGGGGGAGGGCCGAGAATCGGGGGGTTGAAAACTGGGGGGATATAAGTGAAGTTGGAATGGGACTCGATCTTGTATGGCAGCCGTAGGAAGATTGGCTTCCGTTCTACCGTCAAAACTACAGGCCTTCTCTTCTTATGTTCTATGTTGGCTCTGATGAAGGTTTCCGGAGAGTCATTCTCCCTTAGCACTAAGCGAATGCACTCCAATTCTTCCGGAAGCGTGTCATTCGAGCAGATACGTTCAGCTAGGCTCACTAGGGTATTCGTCAAGTTCCGTTTAAACCTAAGTGGTCAGTTTCCTGTACACGGTACACTTGAGAATTTACATTGGCAATGAGCACAATAGCTGTGTTCTTGACCAAATGGATGATGTGTGAGGGCTGCCGGTAGAATTCGTCTTGCAAAATGCCGAATTATTGAAGCACTGTCTATTGAAACAACAAATGTCCATAAGGTGCCTCACGCTCCACATACTGGGACACCTCTCATCACTGACGTTTGTTCCGTCCGTGCTACACCTATACCTATGATAGCTGAGTGTACGCCTTGTGATAAAACTTTGAAACAGTCAATTGTCTGTCCGTTCCCGCTCGATTTACATGTCTAAACCATGTCACACTCTTGGCGTACTACACAGTCTTTGGTGACCTCTGAGCAGTAGTTTCTGGAAGCATAGACCGAAGTAAAAGGTGGGACTACTTTGCTAACACGAACTATTAAGTATGATTGTGATGCGAGGCCTAAGGGTGCGTGCGCGGCTACGCTCTAGGAAACATTCCAGTAAATTGACTCTGACTTTTTAACTTAATAATAATACTGATACTACTACTGCTACTACTACTACTACTACTACTACTACTACCACCAATAATAATATTAAATGTATATTCCACAATATCTCGGAAGGAGCTTAGAACCGGTTGAAAAAGCATAATTTCTTAAGGTTTAAGATACGAATCGGTGTTGTGTGGGCTTGTATTGTGGCTACGTCTCGATATCGAAGCATGAACGAAGTGTGACTATACAAATTCGGTTCGTATTCGAAGCCCTCCGAAATTAAGTATCTTTCTCATCATGCGATAAGCTACGCCCCTAATTGGCACATAATTTTGTAGACGCAGCATCATGCGATTTCATGGGTAACATTTAGTTGTGAGATTGTCCTTGTATGCATAAGATTTTAGCACAATATACGATCCACATGATTGTTTTGCTGAAAGGTGTATACGTAGAAACGTTGCTCAATAACAACGAAGTCGCATCCCACCAAACAAGTGGCGGTTATCCGATAGGGACACTTGATATCATATCAGCTGTCTTTATCTTCTGTGCCGCTTCCCGGGACGTTGGTGCGCTTCGAGAGCGCTGCAACCGCACAAGAAAGCTTACATTATGTGTATATCTTCTAGCTCCTAGTTGTTATCTGGTCAATCTTGATACAATTCAAGTGATTTCTCACAGAAGATAATCTTCCGGCTTGAAATGAAAGGCCGTTTGTGCTAACACGGCCTGATTGGGGCTGGTGGCCTATTCCACAAAGCAGCATGTCTTAGTATGATGAAATTAGAACGCATATTTATCCTGCAGCTTTGTATAACCAGAGTACAATTTTTGCTACGAAGTCCACGGGTTGAGCAGTGCTACAGTTTTGGCATAGGAGAACTGGAGTAAGTTTTTCGGTGGATCATAGTGGATAGTACAGAGTTATGCTTCAGTCTTCGTAGCTGAAGGGTTTGGATCTGGAGTTGCTGGTACTGTTCTCGACAGTTTTGGATAGAATTGTGGCTAATAGACGTTCCGTAAACGGACTCTATAAGCTTTCTAGAGCTGATCTATCCGTTTTCCTCACGCAAGCAAAATTGTGCTGCAACCCACAAAATGCGGTGGATGCAAATTTCAGAAAGTTCGTCTCTGTCTAGGATTATATAAGAGCCACAAATTGTCTGAGAGCGCTATATGCTATTCGATAGAGTCAAAAAAGTTGAGAGCACAGAGATGCCAAAGTCCGAGATAAACGGTGGACAGCTGTATAGGAAGGCGTTTGCGGTTGTCTAATAGATCCTTCGGGTATGATGATTGATGCGTGATTTTCCGATAAGGGACTTATCACCTACATGTTGCGCCATGTTTCAAGAGACTGGTCAACTTGAACCAACAAGTGTGTAGCCAAGTTCATCCCTCGTTGCTCGTAGACAATGTTAATATCAACGGCAAATGGAAACCGCATTCCATGTTCAATGGTGATGCTGATTTCGTTGAAGTACAGCAGGTGCATATGGACATAGTGCACATCAATGGTGATTTGACGTCGAGCGATGGCACTTAAAATGATTAGCTGAGAACGATCACTCAACTCAGGTCAGACGATGAATATCGGAAGCTGCAACCACTTCGAGCCGTTGAATAGGCATCACTGGGGATGCGAGGTATTTTATCGCTATCATCGGAACCCGAGACAGGTGCTTAAAGATTGCGTGAGAGGCTACTATTTAGTGAGTGTACTTCGGAGACCAGGAATACAGAAACGCCGAGAGAAAGCAGTATTAGAGACGATACTTTAAAAGTTTTGACAGAGAGCGCAAATTCTAAGAGAGGCATTGTGCCTCGAATTGTTTAGTCAGACAAATGGCTCGACCACGACTTTAGCACAGATTGCAAAGTTTTGGACAACTTTTTCTAAGTAAACTTGGAAAATGGCAAGGAAGATGACGGAGAAAACAGTGGCTCAGTTTGTGCAAGGACGACATTTATCGCCGACCCATCCCGGCAAGGAGGTTTCGTCCGAGGTTCCACATCTCCAGCCATCGAACTAATAGCTGGGCCAGCAAGATAAAGGTTTGCACGTGGGACACCATTGGAAGTCTCTGATTCAATGACCCTAATAACAAGGCAACAATTATCAGGTCCGGTCCTGGAACGTGACAGAAGAGGTCCGTGGAGGGCTGCCACATCACATGTAGTTGCAGTAATTTTAAGGAAATAAACGTGCGTTGCAGTCGTGGTAGACCATGCAACCGCTGGTATCTCATTGGTCGGAGACCTGATTTGAAGATAGTAGGAGCAGCTGAGAAAAGGCAGCTGCATTACTTCGTCAGAGACAACCGGTGTCGCTAAGACTATACCGGTCAAGCATACGATCAGCATACGTTATGAGAAGAGCGCCAAGACTAAGTATGACCGACGGCTAGTCATAGATATGCATGGTAAGTATACCCAAAAGTACACTGAAAGTGCCGCTCAGCGTAAATAAATGAAATCTTGAGGTACGACAAGCATGTCGCTGTGTTGAGGGCTAGGTTTACTGTGATGGACCAAGTCTTGAAACAAGCTGCAGCAGGATCTGGTGATCAGAAGGCGGACAAATGTGATGGTGTCGAGGAAAGGAAACAAGTGGCACCACAGATAGGAAAAGTGGAATAATACAGCGAAGTATGAGCTCACCGAGCTAATGGTCTCTAGAAGTGGACAAATACACAGGCCTCCCGCAACGTCCCGGTCCACGCTGCAATTAAATATACGCAAATAGTTGAGACAAAGGGCCAGAAAAGACATGAGATGACGAAACGCAGCGATGAAGAATTAGAACTCACTCGCTACTGGTCAAACGACACCCGAGTTTGGGGTTACACTCAAGCACACTGGAACGCATCGAAGATAATGAAGACAAAATTCGAGTGCGCTTCTCAGCCAACTGGTCTGGGTCGTAGCGTAGACGCCATAGAGGAGTGACAATATCCCGGAGGCTGGAGTGAAATATTAGATTATCAATTTCGACCACAAGGTAACAGTAAGAACAGTCAAGTGCGGATTTTGCATTTTGCGAGATGAAAAATATATGCAAACAAGAAATATCCGAGTTCGCATCCGGAAATGAATGTATGGAAGTGTAAGGTCGTCTAACCAGTGAACAATACTCGAGAGAACTAACAAAACAGAATCAGTGTTGCAAAGTGCGCATGCACCATCATTGAGGGAGAGGAGTTTACATGTAGAAAATGCTGGATATGGTTCGAGAAATGATATAAAGTACCGAAGATTAAAATGGATGCACACAACTTTCGTATGGGTAGTTTGTAGGAACCGCAAAGAGATGAACAGGCAGAAAAACACATCTGGCGGCACTAAATGTTTCCAGACACGTGCGCAGAAGATAAAACCTAACCGATTACTTATCAGTTGTCACAGTAAGTTTAAAGGAAGCAGTGTCGTTCCGCATTCATACTTACACAGAGAAAAGTCGAACAAATATGAAAAAGCCGTTGGGTGGCTGGAGCCACAACAGGCCAATGCACTTACCGATCGGCAGGATCTTCCGCGTTTCCCGTCATATCGTTTGAACTAGTACGTATACGCTTCGATTCCGTTTCCTTGGTTTCCGAGAAGGCAGGAAGTCTTTTTTGCAGTAGCGGATCTGCACGACCAATAGCAACCTATAGGATAGCGGAGTTAGTGGCTCACGAGCTCATAGTGAGTCTCTCACTCGCGCATCCAGTAGCTGGCCTCGCCATTTGTACTCGTGTAGAGTAGAGATAGCCTTGTCTCTATCCTCAGCGCAACTGACAGAACAAGTGACTCATACATGAATGTGTAAGTAGCTCACCTGAAGGTTATGAATGTCACATCCTGCAGTAGCTTGATTTTGCGATATTTGACGCCCAGACCATCCAACATCTTTTTCAGTTGCTAAATAGTATGGGAAGAGAAAAGGCGTGAAAGCGAGAGACTGAGACATCCTACCTAGTTCAGTTTAACAACTATGGTGTTAGCGCCGGAGTGCGTTGGACCTAATAGCCACGACACGCGTTACCATTAGAATGGTAAACAATAATGATGGAACAAAAGAGCAGGTAGTAAAAGCGGGACTGAAAGCTCAACGGTTGCAAGTAAATGGCCAAAACAAGGGCGCTTTTGACTCAGCAACTGCGACAAGTCGGACAAAATGTCTAGCCACTAGTGTAACGAACTTGGAGGACCACCTCCACAAAGACAAGACGCATAAGTCTTACGGTAAGGTCCTGCATAACTCGTGTCATATTTCTCCAACCAGATGAGCATTGACAAGTAACGAACGACAGCAGAAGCAGGCTAGCAGATAAAGGGCGAACGGCAGCTAATTTGCGTAGGTGGTTCGAGAACGATGGAAGCTGTGGTGGGGTAATGTAATCTTTTCTAAAGAATATCTGACGCAGTTCGGAATTGCCCTTTGGTGCTCCATCAGATACGAGCAACTCCATACAAGCGTTTGTGAACACATATGAGCAACTTCTCAGTACTCCAAGATGACCAAGTTTCCAACACATGCAGCAACAACAGTCGTGTCACGGGGTTGTGGTCCCTGTCGTTTTCTGAAAACCGACTACCCCGCCGCCTCCGTGAGTGAGGGTTTAAAAAAGCCGCAGTTTTGATGGTGCCCGCAGTAATATCTACAGGGATGCAACTAAGAATGACACGATCACTTAAGTAAGTAGTGACTGGCTACGCTGAGTGACTGTTCCATGATATTTAGAAGTAGTGGCGTGTCAGACTAGTCTTTAGTGTTAGGACTGTTGCATATGATCATCGCACAGATCAATGGTAAGTATCCAGCGCCGACGATATACTTACCTTGAAACCGGTGTAGCGACGCACATTTCTCAACTGGATTTTGAAAGCTTCTGTGGTAAAATTGTCGCGTTGAAGGTACAGATAAGGGCAATCAGACAGGTCGCAGCCCAAGTGTGGTCGTGAACCATCTACATGGCCAGCCTGCGATTGCAGGTCACGGCAACGGCATTTCACAAAATCGTCTATAGTACCCGCTTTATCTGAAACAGTTGTATCAACCGCCTCTGTCGACATATCAGGAAATGCAGCTATAAAGAAGAGTACAACGACAATACATTCAAAGAACCAAGTGAGATATTGAGGTTGAGTAGCAAGTGTTTGAAAAGCAAGGACGGATTGGGATGAAAAGACTGTTGTCCACAAGCGCTGACCACGATTCCAATGATAGGTACTGGAGCAAAACAGTTGTACCAGTAGAATGACAATGACGAATTAGCAACCGCATGTAAGTGTGGAATACATGACGCTCTGCTGAAATCATGGTGTACAGCAAGATGCAACGCCAGAGAGATATCTTGCATAGATGCTGTCTATTCTGAATGCGTCTAGAGCTAACCAACCAGCCCGGTTGGCCGTTGATCTGCGAAACAAAAGATGCCTGGAGTTCGTAGGCAGAAATGAACGGGTTGTCCGTAAAAAACAACCTAAATGTAGTAATCGGAAGCTGCGTCGACAGGAAGCCGATCGTTAGATGCAGCTCCATAATAGCGTGTGCGGAAACCTTTTGCAAGCATGCAGTTATCTCAGTGGGTTAAAATCAATGGAAAATTCTTCAGGTAGGCCATGACAAATTGCACACTGTCATCATAATTCTATACGTAAGCTCGAGGTAAGAAACACCACATCTGTCATATCGAAACGATCGCCGAGAAGAAAGGATTCCACCACATCAACTTAACCGCCTCCAACAAGCAGAAACTGGTGAATGCATGTGAAGGGTTAGTTGCGGAATGGGTGCGGAGTGCATGAGAGCATTGGTCAAGACTGCGAATATTGCGACAATCAACTGGCCTAGAGAGTGTTCCGCAGACAGGTAGTAAGATGTCCATTCCAAAGAAATAAAGGATATTGCCTGAAGGCGACAGACAGTGCTTAAAAACGGATTCTATTCGTACAAACATATGATGCAGCACGGCAGGAAGCCGAAGTGGTCAAGAAATTGTGCTCTGAAAATCTGATGAAGTTGAGAATGAGAAGCAAGAGTCTGGAATACGGAGTACGAAGCCGATCGGTCTACGAGGAAACATAAGCAGGATAGATGGGGAAGCAACGTCTATTTTCAAAGTTGAGTGGCCTTTGTCCATCACAGTAAGGTCAAAACTTTTGTCAGTAACGGAATATGAACAGCATTTGATCATGAAAAGATCATTAGATGGATAACTGCAAGTATTGTCGTTGCATTTCACCCAAAATGATCGAAACTGCCGATGCCGCATTCAGGCTTTCGGTATCCGGTGAGGAAGGTACGATAACACGACATCCGCCGGTCAAATGCGTCAAATAATATGACTCCATGGAAAGGCCCTCCGCCTCAGATCCGACGACAAGAGCCATTTTTGGAGCCTGTGAACTGTTAGAGCGAGGAAAGCGGTGGTCGAAATAGTCCAGGGAGAAATGGGGACACGCGGGTAAAGGAAGGCGGTAAGCAACGGGTGACGGATTGGATAAGAAACGACGAAATGCAATCGGAACATTCACAGGGATGTCTCCTACAGCAACCTCCTCATCTGCATTGTCGCTTAAAGTGGCCGCATATCTATATGACTGAAAAGGAAGAGTAGATATTTTGTAGAAGTAAATTTCGGTGGGGTGAATATTAAAAAGTAGTCCATGAAAGCAAGAGAAAGATAGGAACTAGTTAGGGAACCGACAAACTGAGTCTTCGTCAGCAATGATCCGAAATGAACCCTTTAGCTTTCCAGCAATCTGTATAACATTACATTTTGAAAAAAAGTGATGTCGAGAGCGAGCGAAAACAAAGAAATACTTAAAAAACTCTCCGGGAATAAGTTTTTCCATATACCATATTCCCCACCATAGGACTACCCATTCAAAAGAAAAGCGACGCGCGTTTGAGAGGAATACAAGCAATCATCAATAAGGAAATTGTTGGCAAGAAGAACCGTGGTACTTGGAAAAGAGAAAACATTTGTCCTAGTTGGGGTCCTGTCGACACGGCTACCAGAATTAATATACAAGATCGAAGATGGTCTGTTTTAACACAAGTTATTCACATAGTAATGTTCTTTCCGAAACAAAGTGACTGTCACTCTTAGGAAGTATAACAACCATCCAACTGCAGCTCCATACAGACTGAGGATCAAAAACGGAAAAAGTCACCAAATCGGGGGCGTTTCCAAAGTCAAGTAGGGATAAAAATGTGTAGGCGCGTAGCCAAAGCTGATGCAAACCGAGAAAATTGTCAAATCAGGGTTCTGAAGGATGAAGACCGGGACTATTAGTCTCGTGTCTTACAGTAGCCCTTTGGGTGCAAACAAACTTAAAAGCTAGCGAATCAAAGGTGACAGAGGGGAAGTGTAGTGGTGTTTAGCCGTTGAAATTCGTGGTGATGACAATGTGATCAACGGTTATAGTATCGCCCAGGAGAGCTGATCTCCTACTAAGAAGTAGCAGTATGTATCAGTGACGAGCCAAACTTAGAAGCCAAATACAAAAAGAAAATAAGATAAAATGGTGGGAAGGCAGTGAAAGAACAGCCAGCATAGAAAAGGAATGAAAAAAGAGGGTTACAGTGTAGATAGAGCATCGCTAGACAACTTCAGCAACAAGCAGAAAACAAAGAAAGCTCCGTAAAAACTCCGCGCGGAAAAAAGGATGGAGACCGAACTATGTGCTTCTTTAAACAAAACTAATTAGTCCATGTTCACTAGGTTCCTCCCCGGTGCATCCTATTTTATTGTGACCTAGAACGAGCTTCGGTGAGTAGGAGAAAAGCTTCCCCATTCGATGTTAACAGTTCACTAACGGATACACATTATATCTGCCAAGATGCCGTGATTCAGGCATGCGGTTCACTCGCTGTTCACAGCTCCAAGAGTAGGCAATCAGTTCATCCACATGAGCCATTCATTCAGTGAAACTGAACCATTTCCAAGAGGTGCTAGCGTATTGCACCAAACTTAGCATGGCACATTTTCGAAATTGCGTGTTCTTCATTCAAGTTCGCGAGCCTGAGAACGCTGTTTTGACGTCAGTGAAACTCATTGGTCATGGGACGTCAGCAAATGGGACACCGGGTAGAAACCCCGAGCCTAACCGACGGATAGTGCAATGAAAATGGTCGAGTACTACCATCTGTGCTGCCCTAATACGCGTCTGAAAGAAACTCGATGATTTCTCTCCAAACTGAAACCGTCCCATAGACAACTTTTGCTGCCTATCTAAGGAAGAGCACCTAGCTACTACAAAATCCGAAGTTTACGCCGTAACCATTGCGGACGGACAAGCAAACCACCACACAAAGCGGTCTGTACTTATTGATCGCTAGCGACTACCTGCTGCTGGCTTATTTCAGCGGCCTAAGCATGGTTACGATGGTGGCGTAAACAGGCATTCTTCTAAATGGTATCCCTTAGTCCCTAAACTCTGAGTGGGTTAGCCACGCTTACAGTTGCGGTCGGTCAGGCATACGCCGTGGCTAGGACACTGCACACCCTACGCGGAATCAGCAATGGCTACTAGGCGGTCGGACAATTTTGTGCGATTGTTATTGCAACGACCATGGTGGACATTGTTCCCATTGAAGTAGGTAGACCAACCTGAAGCTTAACAACGAATGTTCTATGGGTGCTTACTTCTATCACAGTTGATGACTAAACATAAACATGACCAACGCTATTGTGGCCTCAAAGCGGGCTTCCAACAAGGCATTAGTTTGTATTACGTAGCGTGTTGTAGAAAAATGGTGCACACGACCTGGAACTCCCATTACCTTGAAAATCGTCGAGGTCCCACTGTTAACATTAGCATGTGTAGCTACTTTGAACTTAAACCTATTATCCGCGGAAGACTATGTTCTAAGCCATCAATCCATCGCGCCATATTATTGGCACAAGTTGCCAGCGCAACAACGCTGCGGCTAAGTCATAAAATAGTGCAGGAAAAGCCGTTGCTACTCGATGGCCTAATTCCAACAATTGTACTTGATTGCAGTGGGGCATGGGAAAACTGTTGCAAACGAGATTAGATAGGCTTAGGAATTGTGTACAAATGGAAATGTTGCAGCCGCTCGATTTGTAGAGCCCACTTGTTGTGATCTTCCAGTGCATTGAACGCTGATGTGAATAGTGTAGCTGCGTAATGCTGACGTAGTGTTTGCGTTGTGTGCTGACTGCAAGTTCCCTGGTTGGATCAGAGCGTCATTGGATCTGTAGACATTGTTCCAACTCGGAGGATTCCTAGTGGGATCGTGACACGATATTACTGGGTGTTCATTTGTCTCCACACACATAGGCAATTTGGGGAATCAGTTATCGTTTCAGTGTCTCCATGTATGGCGTTATTTAAAGGTCATAGGAAGGATGCGGAACCTATGTATTCATATCCTATGAATACAGTCAAACACTGCTGTCTCACCCACCGGCGTCCCTACAGCATGTTTGCAAACATTTACAAAGGCAACTGTGCCCACTATTCCTGATATGGACCACTTCTGCAGATGCTTTTAAGCAAGTTGATATTTTGGAATGACACCTCTGTGGTGTCGAGGATGACTAGTTAATCGGAGACAATACGTGATTGGTCATGCTGGCAATCTGGTATAAGCAGGTTTCACTACCAGGCGAGCGAGATAACATCTAACTGAGTAGTGCTAAGAAGCTGATTGGTTGTTTGTGTTGAGGCTGCAACGCTTGCAGACTGTTGGAAGAGAAGCGTTGAAGGCTTAGGGGTAGAATGTACTGTTGCTTTCCTTGCTCGCTTGCCTATCTGGCCACACGTGATACGATGTGCATAGTGGAATTGCGTCACTGTGAACCAGCTGGAGAATCGATACGTGTGCGATTTCGTTTAGGAAATACATGCGATCGTTAAGGCAGAGAGAGGTAATAAGAACCAATACAATACTTCGTATGAAGAAGTCAAAGCTAGGACTTGTTCGCAAATGGAAGTGTTAAAGCCTTTACAGCTACAAAGTTTCCATAATGTGTTGTTTCAGTGGGCCGTAAAATCATGTGACTAGTGTAGCTACGTACGGCTGATGTAATCAGCACATTGTATACTAAGGGCAAGTTCCCTGGGTAGGTAGGATCTGTAGCCATTGTTCCAACTAGGAGGATTCCTAGTGTGGCAGTGATACGACATTAATAAATGTTTGTTCATCTCCACACCTGTGGACGACTTCGGCAATCGGTTACCGCTCCAGTGTCCATGGATCTGCCAATATTTAAAAATCGTAAGATGCATGACAATCCTGCGTTTCGACGGGATATCTACGCTTCACTTCCATGTGATTGATAAGCTTAATGTACCAGATGACCCTACTGCCCTGATGTGACTCGCCAACAAGCACTACATACGCACTGTAAGCAGAAGGTTTGGACCATATTCCCCCTTTCACCAATGCTTCCGGAACTACCTACTTCCCAATAACAAAATGTTCCCGACTAGTTGCCAAGTCGATAACAACGTGTGTCACGGTGTGCACACATGATTGCTTCTAAGATTGGCTGCAAAAGTGGTCCATATAAGGAATAGTGGGCACAGTTGCCTTTGTAAATGTTTGCAAACATGCTGTAGGGACGCCGGTGGGTGAGACAACAGTGTTTGACTGTTTCAAGTATTCACCTGAATTGCCCGAGTAAAATGCGTGCGCCGCCACTAATTATCACCCTTTGCGTGTTTACTTGCAGGACACTGCGACATTTATAAATACGGTAGCCTTGGTAGCTGCTTTAAGTGCTCTTTAATGAGTAATGCCAATTCCATGAGGATAGCTCTCCAGTCAACGGAAGTAACAGGGAGGTTCGAGCTGCATTCACTATGCGTGCAATGATGCCATTTGGAGAGCCAACTGTGACTTTCACGCTGGTGCCGACCGCCGGAGTAGCTATGCCTGAAGGACCAGTTGAAAAGTGTATCGCACTTGGGGACAACTAGGCTTGTCTCCGCTACACTTGCCTTTGAAGGGCCGTATGGTTTATTGAGAATTCCAGTGTTTCAATCGCTGTGCTTTTCATAATGCGGTCATGACTTTCAACGAATTCCGTCGTGGTCAAAGCGTCTCCACCCCTATGGGTGACCATAGGGAAGTGAAGCCTAATTATCCTATGAATACATAGGTTCCGCATCCTTCCTATGACCTTTAAATAACGCCATACATGGAGACACTGAAACGATAACTGATTCCCCAAATTGCCTATGTGTGTGGAGACAAATGAACACCCAGTAATATCGTGTCACGATCCCACTAGGAATCCTCCGAGTTGGAACAATGTCTACAGATCCAATGACGCTCTGATCCAACCAGGGAACTTGCAGTCAGCACACAACGCAAACACTACATCAGCATTACGCAGCTACACTATTCACATCAGCGTACAATGCACTGGAAGATCACAACAGGCGGGCTCTGCAAATCGAACGGCTGCAACATTTCCATTTGTACACAATTCCTAAGCTTATCTAATCTCGTTTGCAACAGTTTTCCCATGCCCCACTGCAATCAAGTACAATTGTTGGAATTAGGCCATCGAGTAGCAACGGCTTTTCCTGCACTGAATCTGTGGAAAGGCATTCACGGAACCGTCTTAAGTAACTTCTGGACTGCCGCAGATATACGTGTTACGTAATCTTCAGGGACGTACTGCCGCCTATGCAATTTCGCATGAATAGACATGCGTCGTTTGCAACTCCGTTCCCGCAACCTCTCTGCAGCCATCCGCATCCCCATGATTTAGGACTTTAAGCACAGAGTACAGTAGCAATGTTGACGAAATATCTTCGACTTGTAAAGTACTCTGTATATATCTTGCATAGCATGTAACGTACCACATCCCCTTTTGTCTATGGAGAAAAGGAGGAAAAGTATGTACACACGTGTTTTATTCAAAAGGCTGTAATCTGTAAATCGGTCAAATGAACCACGCGTCCGTAATTACTTGTAACATATCGCACCATTGGCTCGCAGTGGTACCGCGTAAAGCAACCTCTGGCTTCAAGCATCACTTGCCCGAGAAATCATGTGCACCACTCGCCAGTGCTAAGAACCCCTTCTGGATCCACTAAGTGTTTCTGCATACCTCCGCCTCATTGTGTCTTTCACATAATTCTTAACAACACTCCACATGCCTTCGATAAGGTTTAGCGAAGGAGAGTCAGGAGCTAGTCGTAGCAGCATTCGTGAGCAATACCCTTGCTACTCGATAATCTCCTGCACATCTGTATGGCACAGTGCGTTGTCACAAACCAGAACACACCGATTAATAAAAGCGGCTCTCTGGGCATCCAGAACCCACTGCGCGCATCTTCGCTTGTTGAAGCTGCCTTATAAAACGGAAAAGGTTATCAGTGCGTCACTAGTCATGGCACTTACAACATGCACATTTTGCCCGCGACTGTTCGTCACCGTGCACTGTGTTCGAGTTCTCCTCAGTGAACGACCCCTGGTGCGAGCACAAAATAGATTGAGATTGGTCTCATCAATCGAAACGGATTGTCTTTCTTCTGTCTGCAACTGTAGCATCCGCACCACAAAAAACCGTCGCATTTTCTTTGCCAGTGTTCATGGATTCCGGGGTCGTGGGCAACTTCTTTAGCGTGAGAAGAAGACCGTCAAGGTAACTTGAAACTGTAATGAGGCTAACTTCAACGTCGAATTCAGCCTTCAAGCTCACACGAAGAGTGGATAAGATAACGGTTGGTTCTTCAGATACCCACTCGACCAGAGCAGCAATGTGACTTTCTGTCAAGCACCTGCGGCGAGCCTCACAGTGTTGTCTCCACCGTTCCACGGATTCCAACATCCGTATCCAACTACGGCACGTGCTCATTTTCACTTTCAGTATTGAAGCAACCTTCATCCAATCCTTTCCTTGCTCCTAGGTACGCGAAATTCCCTCCCTCACCTCAAGCGAGTTTCGCGCGAATGGTCCTGTTCGTTTAATGCGGTGTCCGCCCGATCCACGTCAGAACACAGACATCCCACCTGTCCAGTAGGCACCGCAAAGCAAAGAAAGCGAGGCGCGATCACGACGTTACCTATAAATATTGCGTATAGAATTTTAAAAAGAATATACATTTATCGCTTGAGTCCACTTCATAGGCTTACTTCCCTATTTGCCTAAAGATGGTGGCTGTGATGCCACTGGTTTACTTTTGTTCCAAAATGTCACCTCGCCTAAAACCACATCTAGGCGGATAGCAGGCGTACCATTGCTGACTCAGGTTGGGGTGTGCAGTGTCCTAGCCACAGCGCATGCTTGACCAACTGCAAAAGCAGGCGTGGCTGACTCCCTTAGACTTCAGGGACTGCGAAATACCAGTTAGAAGAATGCTTGCCCACACCATCGTAACCAGGCTTAGGCAAAAAAGTTGCAAGCGTAGGTTTCGGTAAAATTGGTACACACGTGCGTTAGTTCCAACAGGTCGGTTATCAGTAAGTGGCATATGCTGTGTTACAAGATTTGGAGGACACACATGGTGGTAGAATGAATTAGACACCGAATTGATGCGCTGGCAACTTGTGCCAATAATGTGGCGCGATGGATTGATGGCTTAAACCATTGTCTTCCGTGGATAATAGGTCCAAGTGCGAAGTAGCTATGCATGCTAATGGTAATAATGGGACCGCGAAGGTTTTCAAGGTAATGGGAGTTCCAGGTCGTATGCACCATTTTTCTACAACACGCTACGTAATACAAACTAATGCCTTGTTGGAAGCCCGCTTTGAGGCCACAATAGCGTTGGTCATGTTTATGTTTAGTCATCAACTGCGATAGAAGTAAGCACCCATAGAACATTCGTTGTTAAGCTTCAGGTTGGTCTACCTACTTCAATAGGAACAATGTCCACCATGGTCGTTGCAATAACAATCGCACAAAATTGTCCGACCGCCTAGTAGCCATTGCTGATTCCGCGTAGGGTGTGCAGTGTCCTAGCCACGGCGTATGCCTGACCGACCGCAACTGTAAGCGTGGCTAACCCCCTCAGAGCTTAGGGACTAAGAGATACCATTTAGAAGAATGCTTGTCTACGCCACCATCGTAACCATGCTTAGGCCGCTGAAATAAGCCGCCGGAAGGTAGTGGCTGGCGATCAATAAGTACAGACCGCTTTATATGGTGGTTTGCTTGTCCGTCCGCAACGGTTACGGCGTACTCTTCGGATGAGATTGTCCATTGAGATTTCATGTTAGAGAGAAATCATGGAGTTTCCTTCAGACGCGTATTAGGGCAGCACAGATGGTAGTATTCGACCACTTTCATTGCACTATCCGTCGGTTAGGCTCGGGGCTTCTACCCGGTGTCCCAATGGCTAACGTACCATGACCAATGAGTGTCACCTCGGTCAAGACAGCGTTCTAAGACTCGCGAACTTGAATGCAGAACACGCGATTTCGAAAATGTGCCATGCTAAAAGTTTGGTACAATGCGCTAGCATGCTTGTAAAATGATATAATGTTATTTCGTAAGAACAGAAAGATAGCTGGCACTGTTTCTGTTGGGAATATGATGAGCTCCGCGCCATCTACATCCGCAGTAGGAACAGGAATAGAGTTATTGGTAAAATTCTCGATAACATGCTTTAGCGGTTTGGGAGTGGTCGTACGAAGGTTGGGGACCCCATTCAAAAGTAGCATTCGAGTAAGCGAGGTCCTAGGAAAAGGATGCAACTGAGTTGGTAGGATCTCTGTGTCTCTCTCCTAACCTTGACACTCCACGACCGGCTTCGTCCTGGTTTGGAATTATCAGGTAGTGACAGCCGAAGCTGGGAGTCGAACTCGTGGCATAATGGTCGGCGACTGGCGCAATGATCACTAGGCGGCTGAAATCCGTGAGCAAGGGTTGGTACAGCGTATAGAACTTCCAAGTTGGATTTGTAGTACCCAATGTGTGGTTGAATTAGGATACGCAATATCTGATTCAAAGTAAACCGGGGCCCCAATGGATATTGAGTGTTCCAATCTAACCACATGGCGAGTACTTCGAAACTAACTCTGAATGCCACTGAGGTGTTCAGCAAAACCAGTGGGATGAACCTAAGAGCACAGTGAAAATTCTGACATCATGTAAACGATGCAAGGGAAAGCGTGTTCACGGGTTGAAGCAACGACAGTTAGTCAGTTAGGATATCTCGGAACATCGAGCCTTCATCCTTTGATATAGCCGTAAAACGCTTCTCGTGGATGAGCCATGATGCAATGAAGGGGCTAACGTCAAAGGTAGCCGTGATCGGGCGCTCTCCGCTCCCTGGCTGGGGTGTGAAGATCCGGAACACACATGACTGGAAACACTTTCGGATTTGGTAATAAGCCGTGTGCAATGGCGGGCTTGTTGTGACTGTCTATTTCCATGAACACCGTTTTTCCTCTCCATTCGTTTGTCTGTTGTATTTCCCACTCGTTGTGATTATGATGCACTTGGAAGCGCGCGATAAGCGCCGTGGCGTTACGATCAGGTGTTTGTATTTGTTAACTAAATCGGTTCTCAGGTGCTGATGATGACGTTCGATTACCTATGAAGCCCTTAGAGTAAAGAGTTTCTGAGAAAAAAACAGTTTAAATATCCTGGAGAAATGCTGCTCAAACAATAGTTGGAGGGACGGATAGTAATTCTTGGAGCGGAGTCGCAAAAGGCGCATATTAAGGCACAAAGGCCAGAAAGACAATAAGATTACAACAAGATAAATGAAGAAGAATCGTACGACACGAATCCCCCTCAGAACAAACGCACCTCGGTTTTGTCGTCGATGGCATTACGCAACAGTCTATCTGTCAAGCTGCAGGCGGTGTCTGCGGCGTAAACTATTGGATGGTCAGAATCAGTTGTTGAAGAGTTGCTACCGTTGCAGCAGATCCGCTGAGCAATGTCAGACCAGCTCAAGTTGTGGAAAATTGGCACTCGAAAGTGAGCAGACATTCCGGCTCGAATGACTTTGTCGTTCCACACGTCTACGCTGCCTAAACAAAAAGGATGCATAACAGAAAAGAAGCGACTGAAATGTTAGTGATAAGAAGTGGTATTGAAGGGATTTGCATTTCCCAGAATGTTGAGACTGACTTGGATTAGTATAAGCAACCATAATGAAGGTTTTTCATTCAAATGAAGGTTATTGAACTTGGCGTTCCCGGGTAACAAAGAGAGTGATGCATCGCTGGTGGAGAGATGGGTAGAACTCAAATGTTTCTACCCTATTTTGCAGAGATGAGGAGTGAATGAGTAGGCAACAATAACACATTCCGATAGTGGTTGCGTGCAGGTTGCGACAATGCAGGGGCACCCAAACCACAACAGGAGTGTAAACATGACCCCGGAGCGTTGCGGCCGTAGGTTAAACGCCAGAATCGTCATGCCAACGACCCCATCGATTACATAGACATCTTTAAGTTGTAAACAACGCCTTCAACCGCATTCGTCGGGTTCGAAAATTCAAGTCGGTTGAGTTGAACAGTGTCGTTATATAACAGAACTAAAGGTGCTTCAAAGAAAAGGAGCCAAAACTTAGGTCACCAGTCAATGTAAGTAAAATGAACTATGTGTAAACATAGTGGCCGACTAGCCGAACAACCGCCTCGCGGTGCCAGCTGGGTGCTTCGGGTTGACGCCGTTTCAGCAAATAATTCGGCGGCAGTGTACCAGGATGTGGTGAGTTTTCGTCTGGCAAGCGTTCCCCTTATAAAATCCACAAATGGCCGTTTAACAACACTGTGACGTGGCGGATGTGATTCGCCACTAACTGAAGTCACAGCCTCTTACGTAGCTGGAAGAGCTAACCCAATCCACGAACGTGAGTCATCCAAGATTTCATTGCACTCATTCTCCCGCCGCCTGACCGAAGCCAATCACAAATACGACGTCACATCCACAAATTCAAGCAACACAACCACACTCGTTTTTACCTACAAGCATTCATACCCACTTAACACAGGGATCCATATGTTACGTATAAACTTGTGCCGCTTTAACATTTACCAGTCCTGGTTGTATCATAATGATCAAGCCTATGTATGCGTGTCTCGCACTGTCTAGAATAAAACATTTGTATGTATTTACATAGTTACAACGCAACACGACGAATGCTCGTAAAATCGCTGCAAAAACCACTTTACGATAAACCGATCCTCCGTTTGCAGCAAGATGTCCCACAACAAGTAGTGACTAAACTTGCACAAACGAAGAGCAACTACAGTAAGGCAGCAGGATGCATTCGACAGGTGGGCAGAAGCAGACAAACAGACGAGACCGCCCATACATACATACATAGAATAGGTTTTACAAACGATGACTAGCAGGTAATATTGAATCGCCAGTAATAAGGTCTGTATCGCGCGCTACAAAACAACCGCGTATCGGAACCCATTCTGTCTTAACTAGGATTGTTGTGCAAATCACATTCGATGGTGGCCTCGTTGATACTAGTTGCGACTGGTGAGGACCGAATCAGACAAACGCTGTAGGAAAGCCCCAAACTACCATGCTGAAATGGACAAACACTTCAGCTCAGGGGGTTACCACCTTGCAGTAGAACGGTTAGACTGCGTTAGCAGTTCTCGTAGTCCAAACGCAAATGATGTAAATGGTGATGTTCGCCACAACATACCATAACGGCTCAATCTCAGGGCCATGAGAGCTGTGATCACTGGTGGATTTCAACAACATCAAAGTGTCAAGCATCTGA